GAAGGAACAAAATTAAAGCAGCCTAATAAAGGTGATGTGAGAGAGAGATATTACACACACTTTTTTTAGTATCCATAAAAAGATGCCTAGAGGACTTTGAATATTGACAGAAGTAAAGGACAAAAGTGAAAAACCCACAATTGGCTCTGAGCTCTCACTGAAATGTGCGTGTTGTTTATCTGGGGCATTACTATACCATGTAGCTTTATCTCTGTGTAACAGCTGAGAGACTAAAGCAGCATATTTTAGTTGCAACCACTTTACTACTAAAATAGGTCATCAAGTTCAGTGCAGATTTAAGAGGAAAGTTAAGAGGGGGGGGGAATGTTCAAATCAGTTTGAAAGACAGCATTGTAACTGGGGGAAGTCTGCCTGCTTAATCCTGTTGAATACCATAGCAAATATTTTGCCATTATGGAAGAAAACAATATTTTTTTTGAGGGGGGAAGATTGTTTTCTTAAGTCTCTATTCACAGGTCAGTTTGCAAATAAGAAACAAACCAACCCACCAGCTACACAGCGCACTATACTTGATAGAAATTGCGTTTTGGTGAAATGAAGGGAAGGTATCCGATGCTGGAAATCTTGTGCAAGGAGTGAGGACAGGAAGTAGGATAAACAGGAGCAAGTGCTCTGGATGCTTTTCAGAACTCCTACAATGGTATAAAGCATCTGGAGCAAAGATGAATATAGTTCTAAAATTCAGAATAAAAAAGTACATGTGATGTAAATTCAAATAATTTGAAACATTACAAGATAGCATTCTTTTTGGTTTCTTCTTTAGCATTTGTGTATGAAGCTTGTAGTTAGTTGTTTAAAAGTAGTGAAAACATTAGAGGTGCACTGATTAATCTGTCCAATATTGGATTGGTACTGATATAAAGGAAAATTGCTGTATCGGATATCGGCCCAATGATTTGGCTGATGAACGCCCGTGCTGCATGCAGCCACAGTGCAACACAGAGCAGAGCTGGCAGCATGGAGAGCTGCCTCCGGCTGGCAAATCAGAAGGGGAGGAAAGGGGCATGGGGTAGGCAGATCAATACCCCTGCAGTGAGGGAGGCAGGGGGCACGGGATGGAGCTATGGGAGAGAGGATGGGGGGGGGG